GAGCGGCTCTATGATGATCATCCAGTCACCCAGATCGATGGGGCCTGACTCCGCCGTGGGTTCACCCAGCTTTGGCAGCTCGGTGATACCGGGGCGAACCACCTCCACCGCCTCCTGGTTTCCTTTCCCGTCACCACCCATCAACTGCTTTTGCATAGCCTGCATCCCCTCCAGCAGTTTCAGAATGACGTCCATCTGTTTCCCGTTCTTTCCACTGCCCGCCACCGATGCCGGCCTTAGCTCTGAAGACGATTCATCATCATCTTCAGGTTCACCTCCATTGCTTTTGCCGTTGGCCACGTCCGGGTTCATGCCCTGGTCACACACATTCTGGCCATAGCTCACGTCCACGTTACTTCCCATTACCTCCATGGGCTTCCGGCTGTTGTCCCCGCTCTTCTTGTCCTCAATGCTCAGCACCTTGCTCTTGTCCCGACTATCCGGGGCGCCGTAGCTTTCTTCCACCGCCTTGCCGTTCTTTAGGCTCTCAATCTCCCTCATCAGGCACTGGTTCTGCGCCATGAGCTCGTTCACCAGCCGCATCACGTACTCCTGGTTCTCCACATGCATTCCTGCCGCCGGTGACATCCCTGTCGTAGCGCCCGCCAGCTCCATACCCGCCTCCATAGGTTCAGGTAGATGCCGAGGTCTTTCTTGGTCCATCCGCGTTCCGTGGATCAAAGGAGCCTCTCTCCGCCACCGAGTCAGGGTCTCCATCTGGGCCTCATTGAACAAGGGTTCCAGAGCCACAGGATCACCACGTGGCCCACCTGCCCATTGTTCTTCTCCATCTCCCTTGCCTTCTCGACCGCGGGAACCTTCTTGAAGGGCCGTTCTCCCCGAAGTCGACCTCCTTGGCGTGTCGAGCTCCTTCGCGGACCTCTTCCCACCGGAGTTCCCCTTGCCCTTAGCGCCCACCGGCACCAACTCCTGGCCGATCAGCTCCGTGCTCACCTCCGCCTCTTCTGGTTCTTGCCGTCCGAGGTCTCCCGGAGATGCCATGGCTTCACCGCGTCCTCCTTGGGCTCATAACCTGTAAACCCAGGTTTCAGCTACGCGCCTTTTTCTTGAACACAAACGGCTTCCAGATGTTCCTAGAATTGCAATTCACCGACTTGAAATCACGGAGATTCAACTTGTATTTCCCCTGCAGGACCCCTCTGCCCAGCAAAAAACATGGTAGAACGCACTGATGACGGCTTCAAACTGGCCCATATTGGCTCGCAAGCTCGAGAGCTGGTGGGACCCTCTTCCGGACCTGATGAAATGTGTCCTTGGTCATCGGGGGCCAACATAAAGACTCCTCCCCAAAAAGACAACTCAAAGGGGGAGTTGAGTGTTAACAGTAAAAAAAAGAGAGATCCCCCAAAATGGCAGCTGGACACCTTTTGGTTTCCATCCGAAAGGCCTGAAAGGGATACCAACCCAAGCAAAGAAATACACACCCACATGTGTTCCACGACCTGGGTTGTTCCGCGAGGCGCAGCACTGTCACGATCCTCGGTGGGGGATTGGTGAGCCCGATTTGGAGGTTCACTCGGTTGTTTTTTCCATTTACCCACAAGGACCAGGGGCTCAAATCCCCCAAACCCATCAATCCGACCCAAGTGGTGACCAACGAACCTTTGAGGACCACATCAAAGGCCAAGGTCGGGGGCTTTGAAGCAGAGCAAAACCGTCACGAGCGGCGGGTGTCTCCAAGGGAACAAGATCCGATGTCATGTCTCGGGCAAAACCGGCCATTTTGGACGTGTAGGTCCGATGTTCCCGACTCTCAAAGGGGGCCCAACCTGATGCACAGTTGGAAGGCGAAAGGACAATGGATTCAGAGGACTTTTTGTCCGGGGCGCATGATTAAGAGTATATGCGGGGGTCTCACAATGGTGAATCAACCCCCGTTTGGTTTTCCTATTCAAAGGGAAGCCAAAAGGAAGCCGCAGCCATTCTAGGGGGCCCCATTCAGTATTTGTGGGAAATTTGGGGGGGTAGTCCTCGAAAGGAGCGCGCACAAGAGGTCGAATGTACCCCCCCCCCACACCACACCACACTACTCCACATCCACACCGCATTTCCAGACAAGGATCACACAGACAGGGTAGACGGTACTCCACAGGGCGACTTCAATCCGCACGAGCAGGGGCAGCTTGCCCCCATGTTCCGACAAGCGAAAGTAGCCCCACACCGCCAAGGCGAACAACAAGAGCTCGGAGAGGGTTTCAAGAATCAATGCCAGTCTGGTGAGGTACATGATGTAGAACCAGCCTTCGTCCTGGTGTCGGGGAAGAAAACCGGCAAAACAAAAGAAGAAAGCCGGAAAAAATGTTTCAACATGGGTTGACCATCTTCAAAGATAGAACATCCCCATGGACACCCCAAAAAAAGCTTTTTCCTTCAAAACCGGCCCTGAAAGACGGTTCTCCTCCCAAACTGGCTCACGTGTTTGGGTGTATCGCCATCCACTTCCTTTGCCCAGTTCCCGGACAGCCTGACAGTATCGAAATGGAAAACAGGCCCGCGGTGAGGCGGCCGCTTCGATTTGGGTGTGCGTGTTTCTTTCAAAATACTGCGGAAGGACGAAAACCTGCACCACCTAGGAAACCGTGGAGCGATGATTTCCCTGTAAATACTAACCAACAATGGCTTCCCATGGTTTCAAAGTGGTGCGGGATCTCGTCCATCCACAATAGGGCCCAACAATGGCGGCTGTGATTTGGGTGTGGTTGAAGACAACCAACCCCAAAAATGGTTGCTGTGGCAAGCTTTCTCTTTAAACCGCCCCAAAAAGGCTCCGAAAATGTTCGGTGCACACCCTCGGGTCCTGGTTCACTGCGTACTCCACGACGTGTGCAATGAAATGCCCCAAAAACAGTGCGGCCCAGATGCCGCGGAAGACCTGAGCTTTGGCAGTGAGTCTTCCCTGTTTTTGATGCTCCATTTTGGCCTACCAAGATAAATGCCAAAAAGACAACCGTTCTTTTTGGAGGGACCCTTTTTGGACAGGTGTGGCTTCAGGTTTCATATCTTTTTGAGTTGGTACTGTATTGAGGTGGTTTGGATGGGAGACCAACTGGAAACCGACTCATGTTAGGGTCTTGTCAAACAGGGATTTCCCGAAAAAAGCGCGATGTCCTTTTGGTGCCCCTTTACAAACCCAGCTGAAACGGGACCCTCCACAAGCACAAGCATATCAGGTATCCCTTCATTGGTGGTTTAGATTGGTTGTTTGGGGGTTGAACCTCTGGTTCTTATAGAGGGTAAATAGGAAACTACCCTTACCCACCAAACCACCGGGCTCCAAAATGTGTAACCCGTACAACAAAGCAGGAAAGGGATACGGCACCTTCAATCCATCTTAGTAAGAGTACCAACTCAAAAAACAACCATATGGATGTGTCAAATGGTCAATCGATTCGAACAATAATGCAAGGCGCTCGTGCCAAAGCAATGGGTCGGTTCCTTTTGACAGTCGAAGATTTTCGCCGCGAACTTTCACGTGTCTAAGAGGAATCTGCGAAGCCGCGCTCACTTCCGTGGACCACACGAAAAGGTCCTACATCTTGTTTTGTATTGAAACGAAACACCAAAAGGAACCCAAAGGCCATGTTCCGGATACTTCAGGAAAACCACAGTCCGTAACCCAAAGGCCGTTTTAGGGGCACCGACCCCCCATTTTCTGAGACAGCTCCGGTTCCCTTCTCGTCGAACCAAGCTGCAAGGTAGAAGCTCGGGCGCATCCAGTTTGACGTGGCAAAGGCTTGCGGCCACTCCGAGTCCTAGAGCAAAACTTGCGGTAACGAACAGCGAACCCCCAGCGAAATGCCAACATGATTCTGTGTATATATATATATATATGTAGAGAGAGAGAGAGAAAGAGCGAGAGAGAGAGACAGAGATCCATCCGTGTTTGATGCTTGTGTATATCTACATATTCTTAAGGGCTAGAAAGAAGAACGGAAAGCAGTTCCCTTCTAAGGGACCCAGTGGCAGTTTGGGTGGTTCAAACCCAGGTGAACCGCGTCCTCCCATGGCTGCACCGAGGTCGAAAACACCATGGCCCCTCCACGCGCATGCGCTGCTCAGCGTGTTTCACGCGGGAGATACACCCCCTGCCAGCCAAATGGGCTATAAAGAAACGAGAAAGAGCGAAGGTCTGGGATGGGAGACTCCCTCCAACTGGATGTCTGAAAATGAGTTTCCTTTGGGCGTCCCAAAGGAAACCCACCAAAAGAGGCCCCGGGGTCCCACGGCTTACATGCCATGGGTCGACAACCACAGGTCGCAACTTGCCCGGAGCTGTGCATACCAGATTATCCTACCTGACGGTAGTGGGCGTCAGAGTTGGTACCCTGTTTGGGGTTGGTTTAAAGGGAAGCCAAAACGACAACCACCCCTGTTGCTGGTCCCCGCCCAAAAAAAAGAAAGAACACCCAGGTGTGCGCTTCGTTTTTCTCATGTCACCACGTTTCGGGCGGTTTGACAGGGAAGCCAAAGGCAAACCGCTCGTTTAGCATGTTCCGCAAACCGCAGTGACACTCAAGGCTATTCCTAAATCTACAAGCGGTCGCCACTTAGAGTTGACGCTCAAGTGGTTTGTGAGGGAAACGGCGAGAAATAGAAGTGTCAGAGTCACAATTTGGGTGTGTCGTTTTTTGAGGGCACCCCTTTTTGTGTTGTTACAGGGAGACCACAAGGAAAACCACTCTTCGACCCTCAAAAAAGACGAGTGACCCATGTGCTGTTTCTCCGCTCTTTTGGCCCCAAACCGACGGTCACGGTTCTGCGGGATCTCCTCGGTTCGTTTCCAAGCGTAGGCCTTTTGAAGTAATCTTCCACCCTGTGCACTGTCATCGGGACCTTTTGGAATGTCAGGGCCCCAAGCCATTCTGCAAAATAAAAATGAAGGAAAAATTATAAGAAAAAAGAAGAAACCAAAAACGGGGGAAAAAAAGAAAAAGAAACAAAAAGCGCCTTTCGCGCCTTTCGCCCGCCCCTTCCGATGCCTTGTGAAGCCGCTGCGCGATACCTCGGCCCGGCTGCCCCCCCGAATCGACGCATTGATCGCCGCTGGCAGCAAAAGGGGTGAAGTCCGGGGGCGGCAAATACGACAAATGGGAACTCAGGGCATTGGCCCGGGGTGGTGAGGGTATGTGCATGCGCTTCCGCTGGCAGAATGCCCAAATCAATTCCCAACCAAAAAGACTGAGGACGCGGGCTGCTGTTTCCCACCCAAAGCACCCGTCCAACCAAACCAACCACGAAGGAAAGGCATCAGTTGGCATCCCCAACCAAGAGGTACCGTTCGCACGCGTTTGGTTAGGAGGTTCGATCAAAATAGTTGGAACCCCCTTCTACATGTCCTAAGAGAAGCAACGCGTAATGTCCAGAAATCATTTCTTCCGCGGTTCTCTTGCAAAGCTTAGATTTGTCGTTGAATGAACCACCTTTTAGACCAGAGACGGCCAACTATGGCGGAGTGCTTCGGAAGCGGGACATGCTGTGGTTAAATAGGGAACCCCTGCTTCCTTTTGGTTCTCCTTTGAGGCGATCCAAAACATCGGACCCTTTTTCTTGCTCCGAATCCCTCGAACCGATCAAAGGGTAGGTCAACCTCAAGTAGGCGGTCGGCATGCTTTTTTGAGTCATCAACATGGGTGTACCAACAACCCGTTTGCCCAACGGATCCCAATTAGAGTAGGGAAGCCTGCGCCCGTGTGAAAGAACCTCCTGGTTTTCCTTTTGCTTGAAAAAACAACTGCAACCAGCACTGCTCCCAAGAACCAAACGCCGGCCCCTCTTTGACCCCGAAAGTTTACCGCCCGTGGGCTGACCAGGTCTGGGGCCCCTCGCGCAGATGGGGAGATGGAGCCATTGGCTGGCTGGGGGATGGAGCGAGACGACCAGGGTGCCTGACGTCAAGGGGCCTAGGCTTGAGAACTCTTGGGCACCAAAGAAGCTGTTGCACGGTTGTTTCGGGACTATGTCAGACTTTGAGTGGGGCGATGCATGCGAGCATGTTTTTGGGAAGCTTGGGTGTATTGTTGGCCTTTGGCATAGCACTTCAGCAAGACTCTGGTTCTCTTTAAAGGGAAATCAACAGGAACTCAAACAATAGTAGTTGAACAACACTTGGGCCTGCATATCGCAAACGAGTCAGTCCATGGCACCGGGTGGGTTCCATACATTGGCCCTGCGTTCCTTCTAAGAAAACGGCTTGGAGGGGATGCGCCAAAATGCGCTTTCGGACTCCAGTCCCCCTGGATCCGCATGCAGGTGCCGCAAGGAGATCCACACGAGTTGGATCACCTTTCAAAGGCACTTGCTTGAATCCCGGGCACACAATTTGCGCAGTCAGGTTCAGCGCAACTGCCACCAACACGCGACGCGTCCCCCGGTGTGTCCGGTGGGTTAGAGAGTGGGAGGCACGTAGAATACGACGCTTCATGCCGGTGGAGCAAGGAGGCCCAAACATCGCGCAGGAAAAAGTTAATAACTTAGTTGGGGGCAAGAAAACGCATGGCAGACGGTGTAAATGCAACACATAGCTGCCTGGCAAGCAGGAAGGGCCTTGAACATGTTGCCGTTCGAACATCTGCTCAGAAGCTCCAAACTTCCAGCCGCCCACATCAAGCCAGAAGGCGATCCGAAAGCTGCGGCCAACGATCCCGCGGCCAAAGAAACCATACGCCTTTGCTCACAGGTACTTGGCTCACGCATGTGCATCCAGGCGCAACTTTCCTTTCAACACTTACTTGGTCTTCTCCCGCGCTTAGCCCCTTCCCCCGCGTCCCAAAGTTCGGACACCGTGGCCGACACCTGCTTGCGCTGGTTGCTACCCAAAGGTGTGGTGCAGCTCTCGGTAAAGCGCCATCGCCTGCTCCTTTTGGCCACGAATTCAGACCAAGTTTGAACAGAAAGATTCTGTAGTACGTGTCTTCAAATTTGTTATCGCACTGTACATTTAGATCCTAGCAAGAAGTTTGGCTCCGCTTTGGGAGTTGGCGTTCTTTCAGGGCTTGTTGTCTTCACAATAGGACATTTGTTTCATACCTGATTTTCCTCATCCTTTGCAACTACCTCAGCTCTTGCCCTCCAAGTTCTTATTCTGGCCCATGTTCCGTGATTCCTCAAATACGCTAAGTTGGTGTCAAAATCAAATGACCCCAAAAAGGCTTGCTCTCCACTCGGTTTTGCTTTCACCTACCCCAAAAAGCGTCATTACCAACTTAGCACACCCAAATGTCTTAAATCTGTGAACCTTCAAAAATAAAAGAAGAAAAAGAAAAAACGATCCCCTGCCTTAAACTTGAACACTGCCCATAGGGGGGAGTCACACCCACATAATGTGTCAAAGAGATTTTCGGTACCAAACCCACCCCCCGAATTCGCCGCCTGCCCGTAGCTCGCCACCGGGGCATTGCCCAGCGCTCCCCCGGACCGCAGGGGCGCCTTGCGTTGGTCGCGTCGGTCGCGTTGGTCGCGTTGGTTGCGTTGGTCGCGTTGGTCGAGTCAGGATTGGGGTGAGGTGCTTCAAGACCAAAAGAAAGTGGGTTCCGATTCTTTTGCTCCCTTGCAGGTCACTGGGCAATTGGGTCAAGCAGATGCCCTGAATGACTTTCATTGGGGTTGCAATGACTGCCGGGGTGATGGAAACGCATAATTCATCAATGCCTCTCATCCCCGCGGTGCTTCCCTAGTTCCCCCGATGGCCATCCCGGAGCAGAGAGGGACTGAGAGGAAGTCCGGGATTGCTTCTCGACTCCGCAAATGCAGGAATGCCAAAACTTCGAGGAACCGGAAAAAATCCTGAGGGGGAAATGAAAGGAGGCTGAATGCCAGAGCTTTTGTCTGCCAGATTGTTGTTTAAGTTTTGTTGTCTTTTTGGGGTTTCCTCGACAAATACCCAAAAAAACAAAGAAACACAATCCTGAGGGTTGAAAATGAAAGGAGATGACTTGCCTGAGTTTTTTGTTTGGTTTTCCATGATCTTACAGCGCTTCAAAAACGCAGGCTTTGGCCCCGTGGCGGCCTCTTCCGTTTCATTTGGTGTCCGATCCTGGATCGGGACAACAACTTTCAGCTTTGCCATGGACCCAGCCATGCACCCCCGAAAACTTCCCAGGAGACTTGTTGGAGGAGCCATGCAAGCCGTATATCTGCCAGATGCTTCCAGAGAATTTTTGGTAGTCAACTTTACCCAGGGTTGCATGGTCATCAGGCACCATTGTAAACATGATTCTACTGTATCAAGGGAACCTGAGAGTATGGAATGCAAGTGGCAAGCTTATTTGTATGGAATAGGCAAGGGATCTGGATTTTCGGATGTAGGACAAGCCTTACTTCGGGAGTCGAAAGAGCCAGGCCGCGGGAGTCGAATGCCAATCATTTTTGTCATGGCCACTCATGATGACTCCTCAGAATAGTCGAGAAAAAAGTCGCCCCAGATCTTCTGCAACCTCTCTGTTCCTGCGCTTGAGCGCGATCTGAAGAACCGATTCTCATCCGCCAAGGAAGCAAAGGCCCACTCAAAGCCCTCCAAAAGCAAGCGGGCTACCGTTCTGGAAGGGTTCCGGAAGAGATATTTCTGAAAAATACCTGGGCTCAATTTTGCTGAGTGGATTAGCCCACACAAAGCGTCCAATTTCTTCGTTCTGACATGGTCCTCCCAAAAAGAGGCACCTCCAAGTCCAGCCTGTTTCTTTGCACCAAAAAAAAAAAAATCCCTCCAGGAGCTCTTCCCCAAACGTGTGGCTCATTTCCAACTCAGGAAGCGACTTCAAGAGCGGCGCCTGGAGCTCCAAGTCCTGCCCCTCGCGATTGCCCATCAGGGGCTTTGCCACCTCGAAGATCGAAGATCCGCTCACGTCCCCGCCCCGAACCTCCGAACCTCTCCGACCCCCCCTCCCCACTCACATACAGGTGTGCTGTGTGTGTGTGCTTTTTTGTGGGAGGGGTGGGGGGGGCAAACATTTTGCTTGGGGGAGGCCAAAGGGAGGTCCGACTCCCCTCACGTACAGGTGTGTTGGGTGTGTGTGTGTGTGTTTTTCGTGGGGGGGGGCAAAGATTTTGTTTGGGGCAGGGGGGGCAGGTGTGATTCCTATCGCACAAGCGACAATCGGACTAGAATGAGTCTAAGAATCAAACCCATGAGATCTTTACAAGTGGAGGGCTAATCCGGGGGGGAGATCTTGAACACTTTTGATTTAAAACAGATATCTCTGTGCGGCTTGCTTGAGGAACAATTCAGGAAACCGAGCAAATGAGAAACCACTCAGTTTCCAAATATCCACCCCAGCCACCTGGAACGAAAAGGCGGCCCGCCGAACCTTGTGGCATAGGGTGGGGCAACTTTCAGCCCCTTGATTTAACATACCCACACCACGTATCTCTGGGTGAACTGTAATAATTCCACGAAAAGTAAAAAAGAAACCCCTATGAAAGACCGGTGAGATGGGCTGCCCCAGTTGGAGAGGTCGCTACAGTGTCCCGATTGCTCAAAGAACCTCCTTTTGGTTCCGAAGGTTGCCTTGAACAAAATCGTTGCTCCCAAGACGGTCAGACTCATCTCAGATGCGTCCCGCAACATGGCAACCGGCTCCTTTTGGCTCCCCTTGGTCCCAACTTGAAAGGCAGGATCAGCCGATGTGATCAGCGCGAGCTCGCGAAGGTGGAACCAAAGCAAGCGGTTTTGCTTTGCGATCCCCCTTCAGAAGTGGAATCATTGTAGTATCCAAGTGACTTGAAAGGATTGCTGCACGGAATTTCCAACCTCAAGCAATTCCTCGCATTTGTATCTTGCACTTTGACTTCGCTGAAGGATAGGACCCGCCCAAAAAGCCTCACCCTTAAAGCTCCTTCCCACCCCCCCCACCCCCCCCCCCAACGGCAACAGCAACCCTAGGCTAGGCTCCGGGCGCCGCCGGTGGGCGCGCGCGTGACCCTCTTCGGCACAATCTCCTCAGGCTTCGCCACCTCCTTGCCCCGCACCAAGCACACGCCTTCCGCGCGGTCGAACCGGTTCCGCGCATGGGAAACCGGCCGAACCGGCCGCGTGAGGAGAGCGGGCGGAAAACCGCAACCCCTTTTTTTACGAGACACAGAAAAACAGAGGTATCAACAGGTTGGTGGAGGCAAACAAACATGAGCGTGAAATTGATGTTGGATCAACTCCCCCTCACCAAAACAAGATGAAAAGAGTCAAGAGGTTGAGCACGCCCATTTACAGTTGTGGCTGTCGTCCCCTCATGGGCTCATTTCAAGAAATGTCCCTTGCCCGAGCGACAGGGGCGCAAAGGAGGCGGAAAAAAAAGAGCGGTGTGGGGGCTGTCCTTCGTGTCTGGCTGTCTGGCTCCTTTTGCGCCGTGGTCACCTTTGAGGTTCAAAGGGACGCCCAAAACGGACCTATTTCTGATGCCAAAAAGCCAAAAAGGCCCATGTCTCAGACTCCGCCATCCCCAAACCAAAGGTTGGAGCCTGCGCTCCTTCTTTCCCCTGCATCGCGCGCCAGGTGAGTTGGAAACCCGAGTGAACCCACCCTGAACCTCCCAGCCTAAACCCATCCCAAACCGGAAAAGAGGTGTGCAAAGTGGTGAAAAACAAGCGCCGCCAAAGCGATGAGCAGAAATGCGCGGATTCCCTCCCCCACATGCAAATCCCCGGGCACGGCTTCGTGTCCTTTGAGGTCCAAGCAAGGAACACTGACGCCATCAGATCTAAAGCGGATACAGCAAAGCACTCAAGCCCAAGCAGCTCCGTGGCTCCGTGCGTGGTTCGGACCGGGGCCGGAGGATTTTTGGCGGAATCCAACAGATCAAACGCCCCTTCGAAAGCCAGTCTGGTCGCAAACAGGTTGCTCATGGGTCCCAGAGCCGCGGAGTACGAGCTTCTTGCTTCAAAGCTCCAGGCAAGAAGCAAACACACACAAACCCTCGCCCGCCGAATTGCCTCGATGTCCAACCCTCGGCTCACCAAAAAAAGAGAGAAAAGCCCACGGGCCGCCTGCGACGCAGCAGATGCAAAGGGACACCAGGAACCCCAAGATCTCAGCGCGGCACCGCAAAGGAAAGATGCGAGAGCGTCACCGCACGTCGACAGAAGGGAAACTTTCTGAACCCGAACCGAAATTCAAAAGGTCTCAACCAAAAAAGCAAGCCCAAGGGCTCCAAACCCCTGTTGAACTCCCGAAAGAATTGGAAAACGAAAAAATGTCGATTCGTTGGGGCGCAATCAAATTTCCTCAGGGATACCGGCCTTGGGGGGCCTTTCGTGGATGGATTGACTCGAAGCGAAACGAAAAGTCGGGCTTCCATTTGCCTTAAGTCACCTGGAAGACATATATGTCCAGTAGTGATAAGGTCCCTTTTAAAGCCAACCAAAAGAAAACAAATCGCTTCAGCACATGGAAGAGGGCGAGTTGGCGACGAAGGCCCGTGCCGCGGGCCCAATTCGATGTCGGGCATGTCGCAACTCCGCGCGGATCAGCTCAGATTTGCATGGAGCAGACTTAGGAACAGAGCGCGACTGAAGAACATGAAGACCTGCAGACAAAAGTAGTTCATGACAGTGCCATGACTCCAAAGTGCTCATGTTTCATGCAAGGCGTGTAGCGAGCGGCCATGCACATGGGATGACTTTGGCGTCGAGTTGCCAAGCCAATCGAGCGCTGGTCAGTACCAGCGGTCTCCCAGATGAAACCGGGTTGCCAAAACGGGACGGTGCCTTCACCAGAATCGCGGATGACCATACCAACAACAAAGCAGGTTCACCCGGTTGATGAGTCCAACACTCATCCCCACTGATTCAGTGACCTTGGTAAGAAAAGAGAGCCATGTCTTTCTCGGGGTTGACCATTCCGGGTGGGTACGGCTCGTCAAAATTGGGGTTTGGACCGGGACCCAAAAAATGGAGGTCCGGTTTCCTGTTCTCTTCAAAACCGCAAACACCAAAGCACCTGGGTCCGGTCCCCAAAAAGAAAAACAAAAAAAACAACACAACACGAGCGCCCACTTTTGCATGGGAAAGCCACGCAACCAACAAGGTGACAGGCCGGAACTGTGAGCCCCCGGCCAGCAGCCAGCTCCCCACCGAGCGCCCGCCCTATCGAATCGGGGTAGCTTCGAGGTTTCGGGGGGGGGGGGATTGATCGGTTCATAAGTTCTCGACTGAGCGGCTTGCAGCGGGTTTAAAGGGGCGTTCAAGGGCTTTGAAAGGGAGTAAATACCAAGGGGGGCGGGGGGTTAGGGGAGGAAAGTTGTCAGTCGGGTAGGCTTACTGAGGGCGTATGCAACAAGTGGGTGGGTTGCGGGACCAGTGGCCGCAAATGGGACCGGCCAGTACTTGTCTGCAGCAATCACCAGAAAGAACACAGGAGCACAAGGGGCAACAAATGAGTGTGCTAAAATAAGGGTAGGTTGCCCTGGAAAACGGAAACAAGGACTGCAACCTGCCATCACCTGGTGATCTCACTTTCACCCATGCCCATTGGCATGGGTCCAAGGCTGACCCAAAAAATGGTTGCAGCTTCATGGCTTCCGTGTAAAACCCAATCCCCGCCGTACCAACCCCAAAACCGAAACCTACTTAGTGCAGCCACGCGATGTGCGCCTCCGGGGCCTCATCGCCAAACCGGAAAGACCTTGGGGCGACCTCGTTCCTCTTTTCTCCAAAGCAAAACCGGAGGACGCCCAACCCCAAGTTCACGGAGAATCTGCTCCCATGCAGAATTCACCGCATAGCCCGAGCCCTGTGCCCCCATCTTAGCCCGCCTTCTCAGCCTCCGTGCTGGTGTCGGAGCCGCTGATGACGAAGGCGCCGTCGTTTGTGGAGGCCTCCCCAAGACGGACATGCGCCGAAGCCGAGACTCTAGGGGTTGATTCCTTGTCCATTTTTGTTCAACCATCGTTCTTTCCAAACACCGGATCCGTTTTCCGTCGGTTTCCGAAGGTTGTCCAGAAAGAAGGATCCCTGGAAAGAATGGGGCGGGTACCCCTAGATAGACCTACAAACCCTGGGGGGCTTGATCAAAAGCTCCTTTACATGGGATGACTGCTGGGGAGAACCAGGTAATTAAAAGAGAATACTTCCTGGGAAAAGTTACCCATGGTCAAAGCTGGGGCCGAAGGGAATATTGATCAACCCCCATGTCCAGATTGCGTGCTGGTCGAAACATCGCCCGCCGCTGTTGCGAGCGCTGCTCCCTCGCGCACAAAAAACTCACCCACTACGAGCTGCGGTGCCCCAAAGGGTCCCTCTTGGGTCCAGTGAAAGGGAAACAGATTCGGAGACGTTCAGCGCCAGTTCCGGGGACCGGAAGGAAACCAACCAGCCAGAAGGACCCAGAAGGACCCGCCTCCTCCTTCGACTTCACAGGCCCGAACACGTCCTGTCGCAGGAGCCGATCGCCACGGATGGCTCGACTTTCGAGGCTCGGCACCCTTTTGTTGCTGGTTTTGATGGCAAACCAACCGGTTTAAACGAAATCCATGTTGGGAGTCCCCAGATAAAGACATGCTTTAAACATAAGCAAACATTCAACGACCGGGCGAACACTACTTCAAAAAGCTTGCTGTGGAAAACTTGGAAAGGAGGCGACGACCAAACCTTATTCACTCGTATTAGCGTGCTGGGCAGGACGTCACTCCAAAGTGTTTTAATGCGTCTGCTGCAGGTGAGGATGTACTCTGTTGCTAACCCCCAAGAAGCAGGCAACCGGGTGGGTCATGCGTCAAAATAGTACTCCCGAATTGGTTGGTGACTTTTGGATTTTGTTTTATTAGACCCACCCACCCACCCACCCACCCACCCACCCACCCACCCCCACCCCTACCCCTACCCCACCCCCACCCCCACCCCCCCACCCAAAAAAAAGAAGGGGTGCTCTTTGGGATGCAGTTTTAGCGCTGCAAAGCTCAGAAAACACTGCGAATACCATGGTTTGTGGCGGTGCTGGCGTCAAAAAACAAGGTACCAAGCCAAACCCAAAAAAAAGAGAGCGCGCAACAAGTGGGGTGGCGCAAAAGCCTCACTTCGCGTCCCTTGCGCTCGTCTTTCGTCTTGGGCTGGGCGACGCAGCCTTCCCAGCCCTCAGGAAACTAGAGCGCCTTGATCTGAATCCTCGAAGCCAAGGCGAAGCATCGCAATAGCTTGGCTATTGGAACACATCCCCAAAACAACGACGCTTCCCTCAAATCTTCGCTCATTCAATATTCATATTTATAGTACATAATTCAGCACCTCTCTTTGAGGCAATGCCATGCTTCAGGTTGCAGGAAATCAAAGGACGTGAGCCAACTGGCCCATGAAGGCTCCCAAATTTGGGGGTCTGTCTTTTGGCAATCGAACCGGGTCCCCAAAGTGAATTTCAAGTTGTTTTCCTCTTGGCTTCAATTCGGCTTCCCGTTTTTAATACTCCCTTTTTTCAACTACTCCGTTTTTTTCAACCTACTCCTTTTTCCAACTACTCTGTTTGTTCAACCTGCCAGAAGAGGGGGTATCCGGAACTAGCCTCAAAGGAAGACAGACCAAGTGGAACAGGACTCCAGCTGGGGCACCCCACTTCCATCGGGACGAGGCCAAACTCTTCTTTCGGCTTCCCTTTGAAACCAAACGAGGCTCACTCAGAAAAAAACTGCCCTGCTTCTGGGGTCACGATGCTGACTGCTTCTTGAGGGTTAGAGTCGGAAAATGGTTGGTGGTGTCCCTTTAACCTACCACTGAGCAAGAGCTACGTTGAGGGTGGTGAACTAAATGGGGCCAATACTTCCATCATTGGAAAGAGGTTTAACCGCATCCCAGCTCGTCCGAACTCGTCGGAACTCGCCCCCCGGGGCCCCGCACCGTGGGCGACACGCACTCGTAGCCGGTGGTGGCATAGGCCCGCACCTCCGGTGAAATCCTTCGACCTACTTGGGGGGTGAGGGGTGCTCCGTGCGCCGTGACCAAGCCACAAGGGAAGTGGTTAGAACCGCTTGGCGCCCTGGTTTCTCTTTCACAGGTGCCAGGAATTTCGGGAGCTGGGGCTGTCTCCCTTTCATCTGAATGTTGACCCCGGTCACCTAATCAACCAGGGTTGATTCACCTTGGGCTCCCATTACAGCGTTGTTTCCTGCAGCTTGTAGCCTCTTGCAGCTTCTCGCAGGGCTGAAGATGTCAACTATTTTCTGGGGCATCCGAAAAATCGGAAGCGCGACCATAGACTAATTCGGAGCCATACGGGGAGACATTGCAGCAACTTGAGGATGACTATGAGTGACTGGGTCGGGGCCATGGACAATCGGGGCCACGGGCTTCTTATGGCTCTCCTTGCTGGGTTCTAACCGTTCCGCCTTGGAAGGATCCTACCGGTTTTGAGCCCCTTCAGAAAAATTCGCCTCGGCCCAAAGGGGTTATGCTTCTCCAAACAGAATCTTCTTTTCCCCTCCACCCACCCATGTCGGCTGGCCCAAAATCCTGTCCGGCGGGCCTTGAAATTTTGGGTGTTCGTCGGCGTCCAGCTCCATGGGTCCATTTTCGTCGAAAATGTGCTGACAATTGCAAAAATCACTAAAAAATTGCTTTTTTGTCCTGAAAAGCATGACCTCCTGCTGGCCAGGCCTGTCTGACGTGTCTGAGACTAGGCTCAGGCCCAGCCCAACCAGCAACCCGCCTGCTGGCCAGGCCTGTCAGCTCAGCCCACCCAGCCTCAGGCCCAAGCTTCTCTGAAACAGGCCCCGCCCAAGGCTCAGCCCAGCGTGCCAAGGTCAGGTTTTGTCTAACGTGTCTGAGACTGGCCTCAGGCCAACGACCAGTCTCACGTGTCTGAGACTGGTCTCAAGCTACGCCAGCTACTAAGCCTGTCTGACGTGCCCCAACCCCCTCAGTCCGGCCGACCTCCTGCTCGCGTCTGGCCCGAAGTCATCCAGCAGGCCCAGCCCCTTCGGCGCAGTCTGAGACTGGTCTCAAAGTATGCCAGCCTGAGACTAGCCTCAGGGCCAGTCCCTCAGCCCGCCTGCTGGCGTGTCTTACGTGTCTGCGGCAGACACGTCAGGCCCAGCCCAGCCAGCAACTCGCCACCCAGCCTCAGGCCCAAGTGTGTATGAAACAGGCCTTGCCCATCCAGCAACCCGCCCAAGCACAGCTCAGCCCAGCCCGTAGTCCGGCTGCCCGGCAGCCAGGCCCCGGCGCATCTCTGAGACTGGTCTCAAGCTACGCCAGCTACCAAGCGCCCCCAAGCAGCTCAGCCCAGGCTGACCAGGCCTTGACCTCCTGCTCGTGTCTGGCCCCAAGTCATCCAGCAGGCCCAGCCGCTTCGGCGTCTCAAGGTCTGCCAGCCTGAGACAAGCCTCAGGCCCAGTCCCTCAGCCCGCCTGCTGGCGTGTCTATTGGGGATATTTTTCCGGGGTACTTCAGCAAATGGAGGTTTGTATTCCCACCATGTACCTGTCTTGGGCTGAGCAACCGAGCAAGAAATGTATGTCATGGCAAGCCGCCAGCCACGTGAAATGGAGGTGCCCAAACAC